TATTGTTATTATTATTATCATAGTTGCATCCGTAAAATATACATAAAATATATACATACTGCGAGCATGGAAAACACCTCACTATAAACAACCAGTTTTATAAACATTCATTCCAAATTTGATCTAGTCTGATTTTAAAAGAAATTCAGTTGAGTAGAAAGTTACTTTCTTGGGTAGTTCGTTCCAGTATTTTGCTGATTTATAATAAGTTCGTTGTGTCTTAAAAGACAGTTTGAAACATATTCATTTTAAGATAGTGACCACGTAACAAGGAGTTAATAAGTTTTGGTTGATATATATTATTAATTATATCAAATCGATGTATTAGTTTTAAAGTTTGGATAAGATCGCTTCGTAGACATCGAAACTCAAGTGATGGTAGATTTAATCTTTTGTAGTATTGAAGATTTCTCAAGCTTAAGGCCCATTTTATTGCTTTACGTTGAACAGATTCAACCAAAACTACGTCAATTTTTAAATACGAAGCACAAACAGACACTTCATATTCAAGGTGTGGTCTTATAAAAACTTTATATAATTTGAAAACTATTTTTCTATTACAACTGATTGAATATGTTTGCTCCACTTTGAGGTTAGATGTAAAAATGACTCCTAAATCACCCTCTTTAGTAGAGCTTTTTAGGCTTTCATTTATACCTTGGTTATTTTCTAAAAAGTAACTGTAAATAGGATTGGTTTTACTATAATGGATAATAAAGCATTTTGAATTGTTTAATTTAAGTAACCAAGTGTTTGACCACTCGTATACTAAGCGTAGATGGTCCTGCAGATCAACGAAGTTAGTCTTCGATAGTAACGTCGGAAAATACTTCGGAAGTTACAGTAAGTTGGGTAAGATCGTTTGTAAAAAAAATAAAGAAGAGAGGGCCGAGAACAGAACCTTGAAGAAATCAACGTTCTGTTTTCGGCCAGTTCCTCTTTAGTATTGTTACGCGTATATATTGTAACGCGTTGCTTTCTAGCTACTAAAAAGGAATTAATCCATTGTAGTAGCTTGCCGTTTATTTTGAATGATTTTAATTTTAACATATGTCTATTGTGAAGTATGGAATCAAAAGCTTTAGCAAAGTTGAGATAGATTACATCTATAAACTGGTGCAATGCCCGAGAAGACGCAATAATATCAAAAGTCTCTAAAAGATTGGTTACGCAAGATTTATGATGAAAAAAACCGTAATGATTTGTAGAGAGCAGATTTTTATCGTTGATATACTTCAAGATTTTATTCTTTACAACTTTTTCAAAAATTTTGCTCGCAACCGAGGCTAGTAAAATAGGTCGATAATTTTCAGGAAGTAGTTTTTCATTTTTTTATCGACCAGACTAATTTGCTAATTACCAGAGAGTTGGTACTGTTCCAGATTTATAGAAGATTTTTGTAAGTGGAATTGCAAAGCTTCTGGTCCATTATTTTAAATATTGAAGAGTGCAAGCCGTTAGGTCCGAAAGATTTGTTAAGGTTTAGATCGGTAAGTTCATTAACAATGTCTAAATAGAGAAATACAAGCTATTATTATAATTGCATTTAGGTTTAACATCACTTTTATTTAACAATGGAAAATTTTCTGTGCTTTCAAGAGTAAATATAGATTTGAAATGAGTGTTCTGAAATTCAAGTATATCGGAAAGAGTTTCAGTAATTTTCCCTGAAGCATTTTTGAGAGAACGAATTTTATCTTTAATTATTAGTTGGTTGTTAATGTATTTGTAGACAAGTTTTGAGATTTTGATATATATTTTTTATCATGTAATTTTTTTGCTTTAAATATTTCAGCTTTAACGGAACGATTAAGACGATTGTAATTTGTTTTGAGATCTTTACTCTTTTAAATTCGTCGAGCAGTTGATTGATTTGATTGGTTGATTGAGTTGATTGATTTGATTGGTTGATTGAGTTGATTGATTTGATTGGCCAAGCCGATTTTTTTATTTGAATTAAGCTTTTAATATGTGGAGTAACCAAAGGATTATACTTTTATTTTTATTTTTAATTTGATGGCGTTAAAAGATTCCCAAGCAATACGATAATTTACAAAAACTTGCGATAAATTTATATATTGAACATTTGAACCGCATTTTTGTGTAGAAATAAAATATCCCAATTGATTGATACAATAAAGTTTGATATTGAATTATAATTACCTTTGTTGTAACTAAACAACTAAGATTCTTTTTTGGTTAGCGGTTTTGAAACTAAGATTCTTTAATTAATACTAAAGTGACCCTTAGGGTTATTACCTAGTATAGCATTATGAGACAAATTTAAAATAGAATTATTGTTGTGGATAAATAGCTGTTTTGATAAATTTTCCAAACTTATACTCATTAGAATTGTTTGGATTAAAAGCTTTAATACCATTATTAGACCACTTCATATTCGGGAGATTATAATCACCAACAATCAAACAGTCGTTGTAGGGCTTCCTATTTAAGCTATAAGCTAATTTAAAAAATTCAGCGATATAGTTTATAAGGTTAGTATCATTTGGTCTATATATACACCCAATAAGTATGCGTTTATTATTAATTTTTACTGATACCCGAACTCGTTTAAGAGGATTTGTATAGAACTGGTTAACTTCGTGAGATTTAAATAAGTCAGTGATGTATATAGCTACACCGTCACCTCGACGTCCGTTGCAGCGATCTTTAGAATACAAATTATATCCATCGATGTTAGCAACTGAGTCATTTTGAAACCATATTTTGGAGACAGTAATAACATGGTAATCAAAAGTTCTGGCTATTGCAATTAAATTGCTTATTTTATTATCAAGAGATATTGCACGCTTTAGTTTGTTTTTAGGTTATGTACGTCCTTACTCTTGTATTTTGATTTTTTTGATAGGATAGTAAAGGGAGGGTAGTGATTCTTAGGCAGTGTTTTGAAATTTTTGAGCTTAACAACTCTGCTGCTTCGTTTACATTACAATGACTTACATAAAAGTTAACAATACAAAAAAGCAGGCTCGTGGTCAACAAAGAGTTGTGTTCAATTAAGCATAGCATATAATTCTAAAAATGTATTCAGATATATATATACATATATACATATATATATATATATATATATATATATATATATATATATATATATATATATATATATATATATATATATATATATATATATATATATATATATATATATATATATATATATATATATATATATATATATATATATGTATATATGTATATATATATCTGAATACATTTTTAGAATTATATGCTATGCTTAATTGAACACAACTCTTTGTTGACCACGAGCCTGCTTTTTTGTATTGTTAACTTTTATGTAAGTCATTGTAATGTAAACGAAGCAGCAGAGTTGTTAAGCTCAAAAATTTCAAAACACTGCCTAAGAATCACTACCCTCCCTTTACTATCCTATCAAAAAAATCAAAATACAAGAGTAAGGACGTACATAACCTAAAAACAAACTAAAGCGTGCAATATCTCTTGATAATAAAATAAGCAATTTAATTGCAATAGCCAGAACTTTTGATTATCATGTTATTACTGTCTCCAAAATATGGTTTCAAAATGACTCAGTTGCTAACATCGATGGATATAATTTGTATTCTAAAGATCGCTGCAACGGACGTCGAGGTGACGGTGTAGCTATATACATCACTGACTTATTTAAATCTCACGAAGTTAACCAGTTCTATACAAATCCTCTTAAACGAGTTCGGGTATCAGTAAAAATTAATAATAAACGCATACTTATTGGGTGTATATATAGACCAAATGATACTAACCTTATAAACTATATCGCTGAATTTTTTAAATTAGCTTATAGCTTAAATAGGAAGCCCTACATATATATATATATATATATATATATATATATATATATATATATATATATATATATATATATATATATATATATATATATATATATATATATCAATACATTTTTAGATTTATAATTTATTTGATGATTCAACTGATTCAGAATAATTTATTTTAAAAAAAATGTATCATTTTATTTCATATTTGTGTTTTACTTATTATTTAGTAGTTTAATCCTATTTTCCCGTTTTTTCCGATTTAAATTTGTCAGTTTAGATTTGCAACAGCTAACCGAGCATTTGTAGCTTATTTTAATCATCGGGCATAGCTTGGCTGCCGACATTGGACCGCCGTTGTTTTGGTCCATACGAAATCGCATCATGCCGAGATCCGAGATTCGAGATTGTTTTGGTCCATACGGAATCTCGGGCCGAGATCAGGCCGAGATCGGCTAGTCGATGATTTGACTGGAATTGCGTTGGCTCAACATCGGCCAGCCGATGTATTACGGATGACCGATGTCGGTCCGATATCGGCAGCCGAGCTCGGCCCGATATTGGCTTTAACACAAGGTAAGCTATTGTTTACAATTTTACATTAAAACAACATTTTAAATCCCGATTTCAGTAGTTACTATTTTTTTAATTATTATTATCCTTATTTTCTTGTTACATTGTTATCTTTAATAATATAATTTTACTATTCTATTTATGATACTTTTTTACTTTTATTATTATTATTATTATTATTTATTTTTATTACCAATGGTTTTTATCTTTATTTTTTACTTTTTCATTTTTTTGTTAGAGTTTTTTTTTTTATCATTTGTTTTTATTATAACTTTATCCATTAAAGAACTTTTTCTCAAACTCCCGATTACAAAAGTTGAGAATTTCATTCCTCTAAATATCAATAATTGATCGCTAAATGATAAAGCTTTTTAAATCACTTTTTATTGTGTTTATTTAGACTTAAGAAGAAATCTTCTTGTCAATAAACATTCACTAAAATTTATTTTTTTCAGTTGTTTTGATACTGATGTTATCAAATTTTTGTAATATGTTTGGTATGAATTTATAACGTACTTGAAATAACCTTACGGTTATCACGAGTACTTTAGAAAAAATTTTTCGTTGAAAATAATATGAGAAAAGCAACGAAGCGTAAAACAATAACATTTCTATTAAAAATCGTTTAAAAATAAACTCGTATTCCGCATAATGTTTTTTTTTAATTCGAACGTGACATTATTCAGGTTTCAAAACACAAAAAATTAACTTATATATGTATTTACAATATTTGTAGACTACCATACAAAATGTATAAAAAACCATTATTTTCATGAATTGGATTTTAAAATGAACTCAGTTTTATCATTGTCGAATTCTTTTGGACGCAGTTTCGATGAATTCAAGCAGATACAAATAAAAAAAAGTGAAGAAATTCTTCATAAAAAAACATACAATGAAACAATATATACTGAAAAGAAAACTGTGAACAAACATATATTAAGGACTTTTTTTGAAGGTGTAACAGTAGAGCCTGTTACCTTTTGCTACGCATGCGCTTTAATTCTTCATGCCCCACTAATACAACAATACATATACCAACGCATTAGCGAGGACTATCAAATGTCTGGCAAAATTAAAGATGATGTCAGTGGTTGTGAATTATCGGCTATTGAAAACGATAACGCCACGTATGAAATACGGAAAAATGTGCAATCATTAACATCGTATGTTCATCTTGGAATTATACTTTCTGCTGCTTTACCATCGTTATTCATGGCATTATTATTAGGAACATGGTCAGATAAAGTTGGCCGTCGAATAGTGTTATTTCTTCCTGTTCTTGGTGGGCTTTTAGACTGTATTTGCATCCTTATAACAATGTTTACACGAGCGCCACTTTTTGTGTTATTTATTGGAAGTTTTATAAATGGATTAGGAGGTTTTTTCACCACAATGATTTTAGCGGTATTTTCATATATAGCTGATATCACAGATGAAGATAACAGAGCAATGAGACTTGGAGTTCTTGAAGCAGTAGCTTTTACAAGTGGAATGATCAGTCACATGACAAGTGGTTGGTGGATACATCATCTTGGTTTTAAGGCGCCTTACATTTTTATATTTGCTCTTCATTCCGTAGGGTTGGTTTACATTATTTTTGTTTTACCTGAATCAAGTAGCGTAACAGAAAAACTGCATCTCAAAGATTTGTTTTGCAGAGCTCATTTTAAAAAAGTAATCAACTTATTTACCAAAGCAGACTCAAGATATAAATGGCAGCTCTATGGGTTAGCTGTAACATCAGCACTAATGATGATATCATCAATTGGTTTTGGAAGCGTAATTGTTTTATTTGCTTTAGATGCTCCGTTTTGCTTTTCACCTATCATGATCGGGTATTTTTTAGCTGATTGCATGTTTATGCAAGCTCTGGGTGCAGTGTTTTCATTAATGCTGCTACGTAAATGTTTTTCTGAGATTTTTTTGACACAGCTTGGAATTGCCTCAATTATAGCATCACTTGTGATGATTGCTCTTATAACAAAAAGGTGGCAAATGTTTCTTGGTATGTTAATTGATAATAAAAATAATTTATAAAAAGTATCTAAACGTGTTCATATTCAGGCAAACATTTTAATATTTATTTAGTGCCGTTAGCCGGTTGTTTTGGTGGGGTATGCATGCCTGTAATAAGAGCAAGAATGTCAAAGTTGGTTGATAACAGTGAACAAGGTAATAAATATCAAAATTTTATCGTAGTAATCTGTTCTGTTTCACTTTTTTCTTTTTATTGCTCAACTGATTTTATAAATGCATACCTACGTGTATATGACACGTTTAAAAACGTGTATGAAAGTTTGCGTACGTGCGCAAACTTTCATACACGTTTTCGACGTACATACGTTAGCTAAACAATCTAGAAATAGACGCATTAAGTGTTTTTAAATAGGGGTGATGTGAATATGGAGAAATCAGAACTTCGGCAGAAAATCAGCAAAAAAAGTTTTTGACATCGACTTACAATAACTTTGATTTTGATTTAAACTTGATTTTGTTTATTTATTTATTTAGTTTATTCCTAATTTTAAAACTTTGTGACCACATAATAAAAATTTATTAATAACCGATATATGCACAAATAAAAACAAAAAATCACGAAGGTGATATTCACATAAATAATAAATAAACTTCTGTAACGCTGAAAACAAAAGAGCGTGGGAAAATTACAGAAGACTAAACGGTCTTATCATCAAGAACCGCTTTATTTTGTCATGCAAATAAAAACATATTTAAATAATTTTTACTTTAAATTATTAAATTATAATGGTGTAAAAATGTAACATATCTAGTTATAACACATTTATTGCAATGCAATCTTCGAAAAATATATTTATATAGATTGAAAAATAAGGAGTTATATAAATTGCAAACAGTGAATAAATTTTAAAATTTTGAAAAAATTTTTCAATAGATTTTTTAAAGCAGTTTAAGTTTTTAAAATCAATAATATTTAGATAAGGTTACAAAAAATTATTTCAGATATGAGGTGCACGATAAGTAACTTTAAATTGCTCAAGCTTAGTTTTACATAAAAGCTCTAAAAGGGTTCTACTTGCAAGAATGTTTTGCAAGAATGCTCCATCGGGATTCTATTTGTGCGCAATTGATATTTCTACTCTCTTTATTCAGTTTTAAAAATGAGAATATTTTCAGCTACTTAAAGGAGTCAATACTTATTAGATTAATAACTTTTGAAGAAAATGTTTGGTTCCCATTTAAACCTTTTTATTTTGTTATCAGGTTAAAATATTATATCAGTGCCGCGCAAAAAAAAGAAAAGAAGATTGATAAAATGGTATCAATTGAAAATTGATAAAATTACATCAATATTAGTTTCACCTTGGTGCCTATTGTCATACTAACCATTTCTGGTATAATGTTAGAATAAAGAAAATACCTAATGTTAAAATAAAGAAAAAAATTCGTATCTTTATAAAACAGTTTTTAAATTTTTTCAAGGAATATTTTGAAAACACTGCATATTGGAAAATTGGTCTTTATTACTGCGTAAAATATATATTAAACAGTTATCCAGAGCAATACTATAATATTGGTCTGGATAACTGCATAATTAAATATTGGTCTGTTAGAAATTAAAAAATATATATATTAAAGGCTGTTGGACAAATAAAGACTGATAAAGATCGCTATTATCGATATGAAACATTTGACGCTTTACTTTTACGTTTGTGTCTGTCAAACCTAGTGAATATGCATGTTCTTAAAAAAAATAATGTAACTTCGTGGCAAATTAAATCTAAAACTAGTGGTTAAAAGAATTTGGTAATTGTTTGACTTTGGAAGAAATACTGAAAGTATTTTTATTAAAGTTTGTGATAGCTATTTTAACTAGCAACATCGTAGATCATCCAGGTTTTATATAAGTTATAAAAGATGAATAGTTTGAAGATAGCAATGATAAATATTGTATAAAAATATATATAACATAATTGTGTGGTATAAATATTATATGCATATTTCTCCAACTTGCGAGATTTAATATAAGAAAAAATTACAATGAAATGACGTTTATTCTGATTCTAAAAACATCTTTTGTTATTGCTGTCAACTTTTCTGCAATAAATCTTTATCAAAACTTTTTTCTGATTGGTACAATAAATGGAAAATTTTGGCTGATATATTGAGATTTTGTGAAAGCTGCAAAGCAATATGGTTTTTAATGGGGTTACTAAGGAAGCAAACTTTTATAAAATTTCTATAAACTTTTGATACATGACCTTTAGAAATTCTATAGAATTCTTATATTTTAAAGAGTCTTAATCAATTTCTATAGAAATCGATATAAAATCTTTTTTTCTATATAAATATTTAGAAAAAAAGTTCTAAATCAATTTTTATAAAAATTATTAGAGATTCTAGAAAAATTCTAAAAAGAAAAAGAAGTTTTATAGGTTTTCTATAATTTCTGAAAAATATGGTTTATAAAAATGCAAAAACAACTTTTTTTCTTGAGTCACATAAACTGCTTACATCTCAAAACGGTAAATTCTTAGGAATTATTATTGATGGAATGATGCGAAGTTTAATCCCGTAACGCAAAACAATTTATTACTTGCAATAAAAGGTAATGTTTTAAATTATAACTGTGGAAAAAGAATTCAAAACGAATAGATTTATTGGTTTAAAAAGTTAACTATGAAATAAAATGCCTTAAAAGTCAAGTATTGTTTTATCACAGCTGGTTGTACATTTGATGCGTGAAAAAAACATCTTTCTCTTGCGATTATTTATGTTGACATATCATTACTAAATACAATGTAAATTTAAGAACACTTTTTAATATTTTTTTTATATACGATTCTATTAGCTTAAGACTTACTGGAGTTTTATCTTCAAGAACAAGTTTGTATCTAAACATAGACGAGAAATCTCGAACTGCAAAGATCAAAGAAATGATTCAAGTTTAAAATAAAAGTATAAAAGGTTACGAAAAGAATTACTTTAATTTTTGATCCTTTAACACTATGTGCTAGTTATAGTTGTATTACTATGTGCCGTGTAGCAGTTATAATTTAAAGTCGGTATCATGTGACAAATCTCAGTCTTATAAAAGTCATAAATTTGTCTGGAGTTCTAGAAACTGTTTTACTGTTTTCTTAGCTTCAGTCAACCAATGAAACACTCGAATTTTAACATTAAAAATTAAAAAAAAATTTAACTAATAAAATTTTAATCTAATAAAGTTAAAAATGCTCATTTCATTGAATAACTTTCTTGTCTTATTAACTTTTCGTGTCTCATTAATCTTTCTTGTCTCATTAATCTTTTGAAACGTTTTTTTAAAACGAATATTGTTATTGAAACACTTCAAACAAAAATAATAGAAATCACTCAATGCCTACAGTTAATGAAACATTATTGCTCGTTTTTATAGGAAAACAAACTATCTGGTTTTAAAGATGCTGTTATCAAAGCGAAAGATTAGTCAGAAGAACTACAAATGAAGCCTGTTTTCAAACCTTTAAAAAGGATAAAACAAGTAAAACATTATTTTGATAACTTACCAAGAATGGGAATAATTTCCTTTTTCTATAAAAGAAATTTTTTCAATTCTTTTTTAGACTAAGCTCTAACATCAGTGAAAGACACAGCTAGATGGCTATTCGAAAATCTGGAATTTCTTGAATAATGTTGACAAAACCTCTTGTATAATTATGACAAAAACTATTTTTCAAAAACAAAACTCACTGTGAGTTCAAAGTCTGGTATAATCAATCACAAAGCAATATATCAGAATACTATATTACAGATTAGAATAGTATTGTGGTCTGTGATTAGTTAAATTTTCAATAGTATTCTGGTCTGTGATTAGTTAAATTTTCAGATATAGTCAGGGATAAAATTATTATTTTTTTAAACTATTATAAAGCAGCATAAAGTGGAAGATTTTTAACTTTTTAAACTGAAATTAGTTTTAACTTCATTGTGGTCAACATCATTGCATGACTATTTTATTTTTGAACTTTATAGTTGAAAGTGATTTCTCAAAACATTTTTCGATTTTTCTGCTCTTATCAAAGCTATTACTAATGAAAATTACCCATAACTTACTTGGATACTTAGTATTCCATAAATTTAGTTTCCTAAAACCGAATAAGCATTAATTTAAACTAAATTCTAATATATTTTATAAAGCAAACGCGACAAGCCATAGTGTAACTTATGTAATAATTACATCAAAAATTTGACAAAGAAAAAGTAAATCTAAATATTTTTTTGCATTCTATATCCGGTAGTTTACTTACAATCGCTTAAAATATTTAAATTTTATGGTGGCAAAGTTTGTATATAATTATTACAATAGTAGATTTTAGGTCTAAGCAAAATATTTTTTTTATTGTTTCATCAAAGTTTTTGTCTCTTCATTGTACCCGTTAAGAATCATTTGACACAAATGTATAAAAGCATCTTTAGAACCTAGTTTAATCTGAAAACCATACTGACACAAATTGAAAATTATACTTACATTCGTGGTCGTAGATACATTAAAGACACAATAAGGATCTTCAATGTATGTTTTATTTAATAACACTTTAAATAATTTGATAAAGGTATTTGTGATCAGTTGTTCACTCAGAAAAAATGTTGATTGCTGATAGCAACAAAGTTGACTGCTGAGAGCAACAAAGTAGTGAATTGGTGTTTACTGTTAGAAAAAGATTCTAAAAAAAATCATGTCAAATTGTAGATTTTATTGAGAAATGCAATGAAGTTGCACAATAGTAATTCATATGCATATAGCATGCAGGATACCAACCCAATTAATTTGATTAATGAAGAGCAGCCGTGGCGCAGTGGTATCGCACTTGCCTCAGAAACAAATAATCCGTGGTTCAAATCTCACCTCTGGGAAATTTTAGCAACATCGGTTGGGAAGGAGGCGTGAACCTCCTAATAAATGTCATTAGTGCGGCCGTGATGCAGTGGTTACAGCGCTTGCTTTATAAGCAGGAGATCCAGGTTCGAAACGAGCTCTTTTCGCGTCGAGCTATTTTCGCATCTCGGTAAGGAAGAAGACGTGAACCTCCTGGTTAAATGCACTTCCGAGGTGCTCTGTGACAAGACCGTTAGGTCTTCTTGGGGCACCTAAATAACAAAAAAAAAAAAAAAAAAAAAAAAAAAACAAGAAGCAACATTTACATCTGTATTTATTGACGTTTCGTTTCAGTTGATAGCTAAAATCTTATCTAAACTTATTCAAAATTTTTCATCATTTATTATTCATTTATATTGTTAAAATTTCTTTTAGCAGTTAAAAATTCTGGGGTAACATGGGATATAAAGCTGTTTTTGTGTTCATTCAATTAGATTTATGTGTTTCGTAGTTTATCAATTTTTTGATTATCAATTGAAGCTTTAATTTTTCAATCATCAAAGTATAGATGCTGCTTATAAAAATAGATACATTTTGTTTTTATAGAACTATTTTATGAAGTTTTCTCTTCTAAGCTTTTACAATAATTAGGGTCGTTTCCACACCTAGCGTGAGTCGACACTTATCGTAGGTTTTAAATACTAACATAAATTTTGCGCTAAGTAGTAATTATTTTATATATATATATATATATATATATATATATATATATATATATATATATATATATATATATATATATATATATATATATATATATATATTGTTTATCAACAACATCGTCATGCACTTCTATTACAATACATAGAAACCGCAATACATAGTTACTTATATAAACTCAGTGGGTTTATTACGTCAGCCTATGAAAATTTTTTTTTTTAATTACCAGCTGCTAGAAGCGTTTCAAATAAAACAAGATAATTTAAGATAAAATTTTATTTCTAAATTGATTTAATAAGGTGAATAAAACATGGATCATTATTAATATTATTAAAACCACTCATCATTAAAGTATCAATGTAGTATTTTTGAACGTACGATAAGTATGATCAAAAAAAATGTCATTCCATACATATCGTATGTCCAATAAATAATCAACTTGGTTTATTTTTACATTAAAAAAAATATATTTTACTTAGATTCTTTTACAATGGCAAGACAAAAATATAAGACAAACGTTTGTAGCTCAAAACGAAGACTTCAATATACAGATAGCCAATTAAGAGATGCTATTGGTGTTGTTAAAAAAGGTATGGTTGTGTACAAAGGAAGCAAGACGTTTGGAATTCTTTATCAGACGTTTTGTGATAAAATATCTGGAAAAACTTTTCTGAAGATACAACACTGCGGTTATGAATCAGTACTAGGTGAACACATTGAAACTAAATTAGACGAGTGGCTACTAACATGCACCAGAATGGGATTTGCCATATCTGTAGTACAGCTATTAGATAGTTTGCAAAAATATTTGAATTCCAGCAATATAAAAACACTATTTAGTAACAACCGTCCTGCAAAAGGTTGGTTTTATGTATTTCTTCGCCGTCACGAATAGCTATCTCAAAAACGAGGTGAATACTTAAACCGAGCTAGAGGAGGAATAACTTAAAAACCCATAAAAGATTGGTTTACTGAAATTCCAAAGCTTTTAGGAGAAAACGCTCAATATTTAAATGATTCGATGCGCGTTTTCAATATGGATGAGAGTGGTTTTCAGTTGTCACCAAAAACTAATTTATTAATTGGTAAACGAGGAAAAAATACATATGAAGAAAGTGCTCGAAGTAATAAAAAAGCATCACCACTTTATTTGCAGTAAATGCCAGCGGAACCTTTGCTCCATCATTAACAATTTTTATATATGTTCGTCTTCCAAATAGAATTATAGATACTGCTCCATCAAGATGGGTTATTGGAAAAAGTGAAAATGGCTGCATGACTGCAGAATGTGACTTTATTCGCTTTCTTTCCCATAAACTTTATTGAAAACTGCATTGATCCAAGTATTTTAGAGCAGTTTAAAATAGCTGACGAACATTTAGGTTGGAAAGGTGATCTTGAATTACTCCAGCAGTATCATTTTTGGAAAAGAGGCTTATCTGAAACATATAAGACCACAATTTTACCTGATGAAATACAACAGGGAAATAAAAATCTATCAACAACTTGTAATTTAGAAAATGTGCAAGTTAAAACCGGTATGGAAATGCCTGATTGCATTATTGCAGCGGTAATAGAACCAAAACAAGCTTGTTCTAGTTTAAAAATAGCAGCAGAAATCATAAATCCAATTAAAATTGTTTTAATATGGCCAAAACAACCAGTCCAAACGTCCAAGCGCAAAATAAAACGTTTACCATCGGTTGTAACATTTAAAACGTGGCAGCAAATTCAAAAGACAAAATTGCAAGAAAAGTCACAACTAAATGATGAAAAATTAAAAAAGAGACAATTAGCTGCAGATAAAAAGTCAAAAAAAGAGGAAGAAAGATTAAGAAAGAAACAAATGGCTATGGAGAAAAAGTTATTAAATGAAAAAACTAAAAAAGAAAGAGAAAACATGAAAATTTTGAAAAAGAAAAAGAAAGTCGCAAAAGAAAAAGTAAGCCTTGAAACTGAGTCAGAAAACGAAAGTCATTGTTACCAATAATTATAATACAAGACTCAGATAATTATGATGAAATTCTATCCTTTCCGGTTTAAAAGATTTGTACTAAAGTAATGGAAATGTTTTAAAAATCTTTAGTTTTAATTCAAAATAATATTTTTATTACATTATATAATTAGTCTTTATTTAACAGTCTTTTTCTTTAGTTTATATACCTAAAAACGTTTAATAAAATGTTACTAATGCATTAAATTTTCATTTGAAACCGCAAGCGCATTATAAACCAGTCACTAAAGCAGATTTTAAGATATACGATAAGTGTCAACAATATATACGATAAGTGTGAAACACTTACGATAAGTATGGAAAACTGCGCTTTAAAAGTTTGATCAAAATAAGAACATTGTTGATTTAAATTTCAGGGTAAGAATAATTTTAAACTAACCCTTATAGTTCTAGATTTTTTTTATTTTTTTTATTTAATATATATTTGCTGTTTATATAATAAGAAATATAGTTACAAAGAAACGTTTACATACAAAAAAGTGAGTTTATAATAAACAGGCAGGGGCTCAAAGAAGATACGGATGACTAAAGTCACCACAGTCTTTTCATAGATTGATGGCTGCAAAATTCATTTCTAATAAATTTCTACTTTTTGAGTAATCTAACATATTATAATAACTTTTGTTAAACTCACGGTAAGTGTGGAAACGACCCTATATTGTGTAATATTATGCGACAACGCAATAATCTTCTAAATTGGTGGTTACAATGAGAGCTGTAACTCTACTATTACAATTACATATTTTTGCTAGTTTTAGTAAACGCTTTTAAATTTGTTTTCTTGGTTATGCAAAATACTAATTTTCTTTAACATATCAATTTTTTTTTGCCTAAAGTTATTACTTTTTGATATCGAACTTTAACTATCCTGTCACTAATTTTACTACGCCGCTGATCTAGTAATTAGTTCATTAGCTTTAGAATTTTTTTACACCCTGCTTTCAACTGTCTTCTTAAATTCTGGGATAATGTTTTTTTAATGCTTAGTTGATCTTTCAAAACTTTCGAAGCTTATCTTTTAAAACTTTGTCTTTCATCCTTCTGCAACTGCCTAGAACGCCTTTACAAACTGCAATGAAGTTTTTCACATCGTTTTTGCATTTGTTGTACGGTTTTATTTTATTACGGTTTTATTGCTTCAGTATTTGAATTTCATTGTATGAAAATTAGATCATTCCATAATTATGTGTAAAAAAAATGTATTAGAGTTCTTTTCAACAGAAACTTTATTTCTATAGAGATCTCTGAAAATTTAGTCACTGAACGATACCTTTAGCTTTAGATTATACTCTTTTTCATTTTGATGAAAAAGTTACATAACATCCATATAATTTGGTTTAAAATTAGCAGATATACCGTTTGCATATATGAAAATAGGATGTTTTGAGTTTTCCCTAGTTTTTCAGTTTTACTTTTATTTTTTCTTATTTTAAGTTTTATTTTTGCCTATTTAATTAAAAAAACTCAAAATAAATAAAAATAGGCGTATAAACGGTTAAAAAAAAACTTAACTTTTTATACTTATTATTTTGAAATTTTAAAAATGTGAATAAAATGATAAACCATATTTAAATTGCTGGATTGTTTAAAAAGATACAAGTTTGTAACAGTTTTATTGCAACATGGTACATTATACCGGGAATG